ATTGGGCTGTTTATCTAGTTTTTGCCTTCCGTCCTCCTGTTCCGTTCTTTCCCTGCCTCCCTCCCTTCTTCCCACCTATGTCGTGGCTCTGATCCATGTGCCTAGAGGCCATGCTCTTTCCTCTTACATCTGCCACGCTCACATTCAGCAGATCTCTCTTTGCTCTGGAGTCAAATGCCTGCCCATCTTGTCTGGACCATTTTATCTTCCCCTGGGAGCTATGGTTTAAAAGCTGGCTATTGCTTTCAAGTCCACCCACCCCATCTCTGTGGCCTGAGGGTGGCTTGGGGTGACTGCCTGCTGACCTTGATGGGGCCTGAGCACTGCCTCTCTGAGGCCATGTTAGAGATCCTGCCGCAGCTAGTGGGCGGGGCACACCCCATCCTGTAGCTTTGGAGCCCCAGCCTCAGACCAGTACCCTGGAAGATGCCAAGCCATAACACCTCTTCCTGCCTCTCCTGAGGTCTCATGGAGGAATACAGCAGGAAGATCCCCTGGAGGAGGGCGCAGAAACCCACTCCAGTAATTTTGCCCGGAGAATCCCATGGACAAAGGAGCCTGATGGGTCCATAGAGTTGGAGACTGACTGAAGTGACTTAGCATGCACACACATTTACAAAGCATTTTTTTCTCCCACCCCTCCCCAGATTTTCCCTGAGGCTACCTACTCATTCAACAGTCCACTTCTCTCAGATTACAGTGTATTAGTGAGAATTCTTGGTGTTCTGTTGACTCGCCTTTTCTCAGTGCTACTTTTGGCCATGGGGTTAGGAGACATACCACTCACACATTGCTTCAGAATCTTCTGTTCCTTTCCTTGGCTATCGCATTTGAAGGTTTATAAAAAGAACTTCCTTGTTTGGTTGGACTTGAGCTTGTAACAGCATTTTTGTTTTGGTTTGTTTTGGCGTTTGTTCAGTTTGTTAGTGGGGAGTAGGACCAAGTGGAGTGATTCTGTCATAGTGATGTCTCTTTGCTGTCCTAACTCGGAGATTCCCAGCCTTGCTTGGTCCATGCCTCTCCCCTCAAGGACCCCCCGCTCTGGACAAGATCCTAGCAGCCCCACCCCCATCACTCACAGTTCCCAGTCGTGAGACCGGGGTCCACAGGACTAGGCCTCTGCACAGAGTGGGTACCCAGCCCACCATGAAGAGGGATGAGCAGGGAGTGTTTCACAGAGGCAGCATCAGAGGAGATATCGGGTAGGGAACAGAAGGAACCAAGACATGGAGATAGGAGCACTAGAAACAGTGATGGAGGAACGGGGTGCAGTGGGGTGGGCGTGGGGTGTCCAGCTGGAGCAGCACCAGCTGAAGGTAGCAGGAGGAGAGATACTGGAGAGGAGGGCAGGCAGGGCCAAGTCGTGCAGACTGGCCTGGGGACTGCCCCTGTGAGTGACCGAAGCATTGTGTCTGCACTCTCAAGGATCCTCTGGTGTGCAGGCGCGGGCACAGATGGGGAGGCCTGGGTCCACCTCTCCTCCCCAACTCAGCTCCTCCCAGGGAAACTTCTCTGACAGCCCACCCACAGCCTCCCTGTCCAGGTGCCCCAAGAGACCCCTGCTCCGCCCCCCAATAGCCACGCACAAGGCCTCAGCTGCAGCCACAGTGGGCACATGCTGCCACATCACAGACATGACCCTGCTTCCCCAGCCACACCAAAACAGGACTGCACAGCGGCACAGTGGCACACAGACGTGTCCGTGATGCGGCGGGCACCCTTCACACACAGCCCCACACTGTCTGGCTCCCTCTGGAGCCTTTGGCTCTGATTCTCTTGAGAGCTTGCCCTGCCCCCTGGTGGCCACTCCCCAAGCCACTGCCCTTCTGGAAGGACCCAAACCGTCCACTCCCTTCAGGGCCTTTGCTGCTGTTCAGTCGCTCAGTTGTGTCCGACTCTTTGCGACCCCATGGACTGCAGCACGCCAGGCTTCCCTGTCCATCACCACCTCCCAGAGCTTGCTCACTCATGTCCATTGAGTCAGTGATACCATCCAACCATCTCTTTCTCTGTCGTCCCCTTCTCCTCCTGCTCAAAGAAGCTTCTAGCCTTGAGCAACCTCTCCCCTCAGACCTCAGGCACCGTCAGACCAGGCCCTCTTGGATCCGCTGGCTCATAGACAAGCCTCTCCCATCAGACCAGTGCTGTTGGCCAAGACCTTCTCAAATAGAGTGACCAACTATTCTATTTTCCTGGGAACGAGGGGGTGTTCAGTGCTAAGACTGGGAAAGTCCCAGGCAAACTAGGGCTAGTTGGTCCTGTTCTCAGACCCTCATGTCTTCAGAGTAGACCTTCCTCAGACTGGTTCCTTCGGAGATCTCTGGATCGGCCTAGGCCCTCACATTGGCCCTTCCAAACAAGATTTCTTCAGCCGCAAGTGTCCTGGGCCAGCCTCCCTCAGACCAGTCCTGTCACACAGGCCCTCTCAGACCCACTCCCCTCCAGATTAGCCTTCCCCGTCAGAGTGACGGTCAGGTAAGTCCCTTCCAGCCTCCCTCCTCAGACCAGCTCCATCAGACTTCTCTCCTCAGACCTCCCTCCTCTGAGAAAAAGGGTGAGGATGACACTCCAGTCCTTCTTGCCCCCTGGGCTTTAGCCTTACATCCCCAGGGAGGTGCTACCCTTGAAGGTTCTGTCTCTACCTGCCCATGTTCAGTAGTTCTGGGCATAGTGAACACAGGAACCTCCAAACACAGACACACAGGTGCTGGTCCCAGGGCTGGGTTTGGAGCCAGTATCCTATTCTTTACATGTGAGGATAAGCTTTCTCAGAGCCCCAGCCTAGGGAGTTGGTGAGCTCACTGGCTCTAGGGAGTTCTCAATGTCAGGGGTTGCATGGAGGTATTCCTGCCTGCAGTCTCCTGACCACCTCCCTCTCCTGGCTGGCTGCTGGGAGGCAGGCGTGGGATGCCCGCACTGACCACTGCCTGCCCGGGAGGATGAAGGGCAGGCAGGCAGCCGAGAGGGGGCAGCAGAAGCCAGGACAGCCCCTGGCTCAGGCCAGGGAGGCATGGCAGCCAGGGGCTGGGGTCTGGACCAGGACAGGAACACAGAGAGAGAGAGGCAGAGAGAGGGAAGGGATGCCAGAGTCTGGAAGAAGGAAGAGAGACACACAGCTGGGGCTGGAGATATATACACAGAGATGGACACACAGGGAGAGACACAGAGACTCTGAGCAATGGGGACAGACCCACAGGGACAGAGGGAGCGGAGCAGGAAAAGACAAGACTGAGAGATAGAGAGAAGGGACAGAGGCAAAGACAGGGATGGAGACAGAGAAAGAGATGGCTAGAAAGACAAAGTGGGCAGCAGACACAGGAGATATACAGAGAGAAACACAAGGATAGAGACCAGAACAAAGGTTCAGAGATAGGCATGGGACAGAGACATAGGCGTGGAATGGGTTCAGAGAGATGAGCTTCAGGAATGGCACAGAGGAAGGTTCCCGTGCCCCTTGAGAGAGCAAGAACTAGTAAGCTGAAAGGCTAGGCTGCTTGCTCCGCAGGGTGGGATCCAAATCTCCCCCAGCATTGCCCCACCCCCACCCCCACCAGCAGGGTTTTAATTCTCCAGGTTCTGACTGAGCTCCAAAAACTGATGCCAAGGCTGTCCTCAGCTCCCCAGAACCACGACGAGATATAACGGATGTGGAAGAGCCAGCCGGAGGAGGCAGCGACAGACAGCAGCCAAGACCCTCCGCAGGCGAGCAGCCTCTGTGAGGTTGGGGGCCAGGACCCCCAAAGAGGGATGACCACCGCTGGGCCCGGGTCCAGTCTGGTCAGAGACGGGACACTGTCTCTGAAGCCCCCCTTGGGGCTTGGGATGGGGCTGGGGCTCTCCCTTGGGAATGGAGTCAGGGAGATGCCTTGATCCTCCTCTGCATCGGCCTCTGAGGTTCCTGCAAGCCCCCTCCCCTCCTTCTCCTCCCCAGGCCCCACATAATTGCTTTCCCATGTTGCTAATGGAGGCCAGATTGATGATGCCCAAGCCTTGGGTGGGCGGTGGGTGGGTCAGGGCTGACCAGGGCTCTCAAGGCAGGAAAGAGCATGCGCCTGAGACCCCCCACTATAGCTCTCCTACCACAAGGACAGAGAAGAGGGAGGCTCGGAGCCACCTTGAGAAGACAATGTCCTTCTCAAGAGTTGGTGACCCCCTCCACCCTCCACCCCTGCTGGGCCTGGAATGCAGCAGTTTCCAAGCTGCTCCTCACAGAGACCAGATAGACACAGTGGATCTAGGACAGACACTGGGGATCCAGGACACAGAGACGGTCCACAGCCGCTTCTCAGGAGGTTCATCCTGGGAGCCCCTTCCTGTGGATGAGGAGCAGCGTGCTCATACAGTTGGGGCTATCTGGCTTGAAAAATCATAGGCGTCTCTAGCTTGACCGGCCTCTGCCTTCCACAGCATCTCCAGCCTGGAATGCCCCCTTGTCCTCCAGCGCCCGGGCTGGAGGAGGGCCAGGCACCTTTGTTCTCAGGCCTTCACCAACCCAAAGTCCTGTCCAGGCCTGACTCATCAGTGCTCCTGGAACCAGGAGCCCCTCCTCCCAGGACATCATCCCAGGTGGCCAGGGAGACCAGAAATGGAATGCCCATTTCCTGACCGCAGCTTAAGGAGGAAGGATTGAACCTGGGCTGCACGTGTGACCCAGGGGTCAGTGGCTCAATGGTGGTGTGGCCTGGTGCATGCTGGGGGGGTGGGGTGAGGGGAGTGTGCATCAGTGGTGGTGTGGCCTGGTGCATGCTGGGGGGTGGGGTGGGCCTCCATGTTCGTGGCTTTGACGCCACTTTTCTCCTTGCTCCAGCTGCCCAGAGCACGGCCAGGCCTGGTGCTCTGGCCTAACCCTGTGCCCCTACCCCCAGGCCAAAGGTACCTTCCAACTTGGCCCCAGCCTTGGGCCTTCTCAGCCAAGGAGCTGCAGGGGGGTGGCTCTGACAAGAGTGGGACTGGACCTGAGCAGGCCTGGGGCAGCCAGAGGCTCCTCCTCTGAGGAGCAATCAAGGGGAACCTGGAGTCCCAGTCTGGGGACTGGAAGGGTGTGGGTGTGAGCAGGGTGTGGGGCTGGACCAAAGACTGAGTAACCTATGAAGCCAAAGCCCACTCCTCTCCCACTCACACCAAATCCTCGCTGTAACCTAAGCCCGGGGTAAACCACACACTCCACACTCCCCGCCCTGAAGCACAAGTCGCGGCCTTGGTCACTTGCCAGGCGGCCTCCTTTGGGTAACCTCCCCGCCCGCCCAGGCCCCGGCCACTCTGAGCCCTGAGCCCTGAGTCCAGGCTGAACCTTGGCCTGTGTCTCCTGGCAGGTAGGGATGACAAGCCCTCCATCCACGGGATGGAGCCTGATCTCCTCCCCTTCATGCCCCTCTGCCCTGTGGGTAAAGCCAGGCCTGGGCACCTGTGGATGCAGAAGCTCCGAAGACAGCCCTTAACAGGCCACGGCCCTGCCAGCATTTAGCAGCCTGCAGGGCTGACTAGAACCCACTTCAGTATTCTCGCCTGGGGAATCCCATGGACAGAGGAGCCTGGTGGGTTACAGTCCATGGGGTCGCAGAGAGTTGGGCATGACTGAGCGACTAAACAAGCAAGCAAGGGCTGTCAGGACGTCCCCAGGTGAGACTTGCCTTGCTGGCTGGGACCTTTCATTCCTCACAACTCTGCCCATGGCCTCCAGGGAGTCCTCCCTCCCCAACAGAAGCAGAAAGTCCTGACCCCAGACACCTCCTCCTGGGAGTTGACCTGCCCCTCCCCACCTCTTCCGGCCTCCAGGCCTGGAAGGGGAGAGGTCCTGGGGTGAGGGCTACCTTCCCAAAGCCGGTCTGTTCCAAGGACTCATGAAATGGTGACGTTTAATGAGAACCCCCCACCCCCACCCCTGTATATACATCTATAAAAAATTCAAATACAGCAAGTTACCACTGAGTCAGACTAGAAGGACTGACAGGGCATTAAATACTGTGGGGGGGGAGTAGGAAAGGGGGAGGGTCGTACAAAAACAGGGGCAGAGGTGGGGGACTGGAAAGTGTGGGCGCTGGGGGGAAGGGGATGGCTGGGCCCCCCCAGCGTCAGGAGCTTATAATCTGATGGTGGCAACAGAGACCCTGGGAGAGACAGGAGGCGGGGACAGGAGGAGAGACTGGATGTGAGGGGCTCCCCTCAGGCCCCCCAAGGGCTCCTGGGAGTCGCTGGCGTTGGAGGGTCCAGCCCCAGGGGGGCAGGACAGGGGCGAGTGGTGGGGTCTTTGGTGGGCAGGTTAGCTGCGTGGCCCCCTCCCCTGAGGGAGGGAGGTGGGCCGGCATGGGGTGGCGGGGCCAAGGGAGGGACGGCAGGCCCGGGCCTGCCGGGGTCTCTACAAATTGTGTCTGAAGAGAATGCAGAAGGCCCTCCTGCCCGTGTGCAAAATAGAAACCGGGGTCTTCGGGCTCAGCTCCGGCCTCCCGCTCCTCCGCAGGCGCGCTGGCGTGTCCTCACAGGATGCCGGGCTCTGGGGGATGAACAGGGCGGGAGGCCATGAGGGAAGTGGCTGGGCCGGGGGTCCCCCAGGCTCCTCTCTGCCGCCCAGCCTCACTCGACTCACCAGATCAGGAGACGGTTGGCAGTGGCGGCAGCGGCAGCCAGGGCCAGGGTAACAGGGACACTGACGAAGGAGGGCGCTGAGGGCGCTCCGCCGCTGCCCAGCTCCCCGGGGTCACAGATCTTCGTGGTGGGCGGGGGTGCCAGTGAGCTGGTGGTGCTGGTCGTGGTCTCTGGGGAACATGGGGGAAACTCAGGGGAGGGCTGGGGTCCCCCCCGCCCAGATCTGGGGGTCCACGCGACACAGCTTCTGCCTCCTGTGTCAGACCAGTGCTGCCTCCCCGGTGAGACAGCCCCAGCCTCACCCATCAGGCAGGTTCTGGCTGCTTCCCCCAGGCACACAGATGACCCCTGCATCCAGCGGCCCCTACTGAGAATGTCCAAACAGCAAGGACGAGGACCAGCCGGGGCTGGACAGACCAAGGGGCGTGTGGCAGCCACACAGGGTTCAGAGACCCCTACGGCAGACGCGCCAAGTCCCAGGAGGACAGCAGGCGGCACCAGGCGAGGGGAGGCTCACCGGGGGGCTGGGCCTCAGTGGTCAGGTGTCGCGGCTCCTCCGTCCAGGGCGTGGCGTGGGCAGCCACGCTCCAGTCGCTCCACGTCCCAATCTCGTTGTCCTTGGCCGCCACCTGGATGATGTACTCCTTGCCAGCATAGGCGTCCGTGATGGTGTGTGCCGTTCCGTCTGACAGCTCCACCTGCAGCCAAACCACCACGGAGTGGGGCGGGGAGGGAGGGACAGTGGACCCTGCAGGTCAGGAGAGTGAGGCGCCCCCAGGAGACAGGAGAACCCTCTGGGGAGGGGAGTAGGGTGAAGACACCCTGGAGGGCAGGAGGATGTCCCCGGGGGAGGGAGGGGCTACTGAGAACACCAGTAGGGGAGAGTAAAGACACCCCAGGGAGGAGACCCCCGCCCAGGGAGCGAAGACAGTCCTGAGGGAGAGCTCCACCCTGCTGCCACCCAGGTCTCTCACACGCCTGACCTCGGTCCCAGCTGGAGGCAACTCGAGGTTGGGGTGAGAGAGGGTTAGTGCAGAGCTGCCCTCTTCCTCCCCCATGAAGAAGCTACACACACAGACTTGGAGCAGGGCTGCCCGAGCCCGGATTTCAGCTCCCTCCATCCCCACCCTCGCTAGGTGACTGGCTCAGCTTCCACTTGCCTTGCGGTCCTCATCTGTAAAATGGCGTTAACGATCTCCCCCACAGGGTTGTCATGAGGACGCAGGCACAGGGTGAGGGCCAAACGGACTTCAGCCAGCTCTGTCGTTATCACGGGTTCCAACTCGGAGCCCGGGTTTCCCCGATGCCCAGCGCACCCACCAGCCTGGCCCCAGCTGGGTCTCTCCCTCAGGGAGGCCTCCAGCCTGAGGCGGAAAAGGGGTGGGGGGCAGTTCCGGGGGCAGCGGGACAGGACAGCTGCCCCGTTTCCTCCTGGAGGCATCGCCACCCCGCCCCCGCCCGGCCAGCCCCATCACGCTGGTCTCCCCCACCCTCCAGGCTGGCCTGCCTGTCCGGCGCCCCTCCCAGGCCCAGGCTGGGCTCTGGTTCATCTCAGCGGCACCCGCTGCCTCATTAAGCCGCCTCGTAAACAGGGGCAGCCGGCAGGGGCGGAGGAGGGGCCGCTCTGGGCCACGTCTGGCTTCAGGGCTTTTTTGGTCCCCATTCCCTGGCCCCAGAAAGCCAGGGTCTGGGCTACCTGACCTGACAGCCTGTGAGTGTGTGTGTGTGTGTGTGTGTGTGTGTGTGTGTGTGTGTGTGTGTGTGTGTGTGTGTGTGTGTGTGCATGTAGCGGAGTCCAAGTGGGGGGGAAGGCTGGGAGCCTGTGAGTACGTGTGTGTGTGTGTCTGTGTGTGTATAGCTGGGTCCAAGTGGGGAGGAAGGCTGAGAGCCTGTGAGTACGTCTGTGTGTGTGTGTGCATAGCTGTGTCCAAGTGGGGCAGGAAGGCCTCCCAACACCTCCAGGGTCCGTGGGCCTCAGGCAGGAGGTGTGGGTAGAGCCAGAGTCAGTGTGGAAGACATTTTGGACGCAGACCTGGGCTCGGTGAGTCCTACTCTAGCCCTAGAAGATGGGCGGGGCTCAGAGTCCCTCCCTTCCTGGAGCTGGAGCCCAGTTCCACCTCTGGTCCCCTCTGGCTCTGCAAAGACTCCCTCTGCTAAGTAGACCCAGCTGATGCAGCTCCTTCTCCCCCTTGTCAGGATTCCACCCTCAGGCCCCCTCTTTTGATTCTGTCCCCCAGATCTATCCCCAAAGGGAGAGAACCATGGGGAGCAGTTCAAATGACCACCTCACTGGCAGGCCGAGGGTGAGCAACCCATCACACCTCTAGGGCTGTGGCCTAGGAGCCCACGGCTCTCCAGGAAGCCACATCTCCTAGGCCTGGGCCCTTCTAGTCAGGTTGTCACTGATCCCTTAATCCACCCCCTTCAGAGAATGGCCCCACAAGTGGCAGGAATTCCCGAGTTGCTAGCATCTGCCTTGCCTAGGAGGCCTCCCTCCAGCCTGTGGCCGCATGCCCTCCCACCTTCCTGCTGAGTGAGGCCCATGGCCGAAAGATGCAGGGAACCAGTGCTGTGACCCAGCGCTGGCCTCCCCTGGTTCATTTTGAGAGCCCCTGCCAGACCTCAGGGTACCCATTCTTGTGCAATTCCTGGCCTGTATCTCTCACTTCCTCCTGAAAAGCCAAGTGATGTTTTTCTCTGCTCGCCCCGCCCCATCATACACCTGCCTCTCCCCAAGACGAAGGACTGAGGACAGTCAATGTGGTTCAGAGCAAAACTCAAGTTCAAAAGAACCATACATCTAGCCAACCATCATGCCGACGTGACATGGAGCGGGGCTAACGTGGGCCACAGGCCACACGTGTCCTTGCCACGGAACCCACGTCCTCCGCTCCGCCCGTGTCCGCGTGGGGGTCAGTTCTGCCCATGGTGCAGGCCAATGCGTGGCCTTGGCACGTTAGTCACACGCATGGTGGGAGCATGGTCCCTGCTGGGGACCACATGTGTGTGTGCATGTTCCCGTGTGTGTGTGGTGGGCAGTGCGCCAGGTCCACGGCAAGGCGTGTGCGCCGCGACGCGCAGGGCTGCTGCCTGTAGCTCGTTAGCAGGGGAGGGGGGCTTGTGAAACTAGACCCTGGTTATTAGCAATGCATTAGTCGCGGGCAGCTGGCCAGGCAGGAGGGACTCCGGACTCTGTCAGGGAACATATGAGCATATAAGCAGCCTTGTGGGGGCCAGGCCTGCAACCAGGACAGGCGCCCTGGAATTGAATTACGTACTTTAAAGGGCAGCCGGGAGGGGGGCATGAGGAGATGGGGCTGGAACCAGGTAGATGTGGTGGGGGTACAGGGTGACCCTGAGTGCCAGCCTGGGTTGCCCCGGGGAGCATCCTCCCAGCCCCAGTCCTTGCGTTTAGACCTCCAGCCTTCAGACAGCACCCACATCCCCGGGCTTTCAAGGAGAGAGAAACTCCAGTCTGCCCCAAACCCTTGGCAGATCCCCAGAGCTCTCTCTCGTAGCTTGATCAGCGTCCCAGACAACAGCCTGACCCCGTGCTGCCCCTGTCGACTGCTTGCTTCCTGGCCCAGATCACCTTCTGACCCATAACTTTAAGCTGACACCTTAGCTAGGCTTGACTTTGGAGCCATGACACTAGTCATGGCCTGAACTCACACCTTGGGTTGAGCTTGACTCTATTGCCTGATTCTGACCCCTGGAGCCCATCTGTGAGAACAGGGACTATCCTTGTCCCTTGGATCCAGGCCCAGAGCCTGGTCCCGAGTATAAGAGAGAGATGTCTGATCAGGGCTGAAGCCAGAGACAAGAAAAGGGAAACACTGATACCATCTGCCCCCAGCATCTTTCTCTACTATCTCGGGGAGTCACATAGACAGATGTGTTTGACTGTCCTAATGGGGGTCAATCGGGATGCCCCCCTTCAGCTCCATCCATCCTTCCAGGCCCACCCTCCACCCCAGAAAGCCTCTCTGACTGCTCTCAGGCTTCCCACTAGAACAGCCAGCAGCAAGGCTTCCCAGGCCATGTGGCTCTGATTCCGGCTCTCAGGATCTGGGCAGGTAAAGGCAGGGCACTCACATGCTGCCACTGGTCCAGGATGAGGGGTCGATAGCGCAGGAAGAACTTGAGAGGAAAGGACTCAGGGTCGGGCCAGGTCGATGGGGTCTGCCACGTCACTTCTAGCCGGCGAGGGTTGCTGGGCACCGGCCGGGCTACCACATTTTCTGGAGGGTCAGGCTTCACTGTTTAGGAAACACAGCTTTGGTACCACACTGATCTCTTGGAACAACCCCAGCCACCATGACAACCAGCACACATCGATAATCATTGGTCTCCTCTGTTGTCAGCTTTGGCAACTACTGTTAACCATCTCATTCCTTCCACATTTCACATCCCTGTCATCACCAATGACTGTCCCCACAGTCATTGTCACCAGCTCATGATATCAACATCATAAATTTCATCCCAACCCCATCCTCATGATGACCAGCATCCCAATCACTAAGCCTGTGTCATGCTCTATCATGACCCTCATCATCACCTGGATCATCCACTCCCGTACCAGCATCATATACTCCCCCCAAGCCTGGCTTTCCACCTCAACTTTTCCAGTTCCCAACTGAGACACGGCCTCCCTTGGAAGAGTCTGGGCTTGAAGCTGCTTTGTCGGTCAAGGTTAAAAGACAGTTCACAGGTGTTGCAGATCTGGGTTGGAAGTGGGCTGAGGACCTGATGGAAGCAGCTAAGGGTCAAGGTCATGTAGAGTCTGGCCGAGGACCCAGTCGTGGTGGGGGTGTGGGCGGAGGCAGAGGGTCTGGCTGGGATGGGACAGAGGCAGGCAGGGGGTCTGGCTGGGATGGGGGTTGGGAGGAGGGCGGTCTCTGTCCCAGTCCTGTCTCCTATTCTGACACCTCATTCATCACAGGCCGTAAGGAAGCCATTAGCGTGGTTGTGGGGGGGGGGGTGGATTGGAGGCTGCAGCTGCACACGGGTCTGGCCCGGCCTGCCCCCCTCCCCCTCCTGCATGCTCTGGGAGCCAGAGAGACGAGGGGAAGAGCTGCTGGAGAGGCCTCTCGGCCCCAGCAGGTAAAGGGTATCCACTCAAATGTTCACAGGCGTGTACATGCCATGCGTGGATGTACATGCTATACATTCCACACACACCTGGGCAGACACACGTGAACATCCCCGCGCATGCTGATACACACCTTTGGCAAACATCCGCTTACACACTCCCACTGCAGGATGCAGCACGGAGCCCCCCCGCCTCCCCGCAATCCCCACGCACCGATGGTGAACTCATCGAAGGTAATGGCTGTGGCATTGTGGCCCAGGGCATTGCTGACACTTATCGAGACCTTGTACTTGACAGTGGAGAACAGGTGCATGTAGCGGATGTGGCAGCGGTTCTTGACAGCCGGGTCCTTCTCACAGACCATCACTTTGGAGCCGTGCCTGGGGAGGGGTGAAGCCCAGGCACCATCACCAACCTCAAGGATCGGGCAGGGTGGAGGCTGGGGGAAGGCCAAGCCCAAGGCTGGGCTATAGGGTGTGGATGGAGGGCATGAGGGGGTCCAGGAGAGGTCAGGGTTGGACCGGGTCCTGGGTGTGTCTACTCACAGCACAGTCACATTGAAGGTGTTGGGGATGTAGGTGGGAGTGGGCAGATGCCAGCTGCAGTAGAAGCCCTTGGGATAAGTGTTGGAGCGGCAGCTGAGCACGGGCTCCCGCGGCGGCACTGGGGGGGAGGGGGCGAGGACAGCACGGTCAGGGTGTTCCTGAACCCCCCGTCCCTGGTGCGAGTGTGGGGACAGGTGGGCCCCAAACCCCCAGCTCTCCCTCTTCAACCCAACGGCAATGCCAGAGGTGGGGGTGGGGAGTGCTGTCAGCGAGGGTCTGAGGCTTCCCAGGCCACAGAGAGCCAGATGTTTAATTAAAGAAAAACAAGGGCTGAATGGAGAGGGAGCCCCCCCTCCACCTGCTCAATGGAGGCGGGAACCATGGGGAGCGGGGGGCTGCGGGCCTCAGCTCATCAATCACGGGATGGAGGTGATGTCTGGGGGAACTGGCCCCAGCCCCACGTCTCCTGCCACCTTGCGTCCATCTCCAGAGGGAGACTGCAACAGAGGTCAAGGGTGGGGGGTTTCCACCGGGTCCTCTGGTTGCTGGGGTGAGCGGGGTGCACTCCCGGCTGAAGACACATTCCAGGCTTTCCCTCAGGAGAGAACGAGGAACACAAGACTCCACACAAACGACAGCACTGTTCACGTGCATGTATGTGTTACATGTGTGTGTGTGACGTGAGTGAGTGACGTGTGATGGAATGTGGGAATGTATGTAGGAGGGTCCGTATATGCAGCTCACACCACATGCCTACACGTGTGACTGTGGGTGTGTATGTGTTGTTCCGTTGGCGTGTACTCACCCCAGCCCCAGTCCCCAGCCTCTCCATCAGACCCTTTAAGAAGCCCTTTATAGAGTCAGCAGCTGCCTTACTCTGGGGAGCACAGAGGGCCAGAGAGGGCTGGGGACATGCCCGGGGTCACACAGCAAGCCGGAGCCAGCGCCAAGCACCAGGATGGGAATACCCACCGACAAGACCACACCTACGTACTTGGGAAGTCCTCTCTGCGTTCTAACCACTTTTTGCTGCTGTGAGCACTCATCCCAGCTGTCCCACCCTCGGGTGTTGGGTAAGGCGTGAGGACAGCCGGCTCAGGTTCCTGGAAGGAGGCAGTTTCTGTGATCTGACCCAGGCAAGGAATGTCCGTCCACAGCTCCGGGGACACTGACACCTCCCTTCTGTGCCCTCCCACCCCGCCCCCTGCCTGACAGGTGGACAGGAAGCGGGAGGGGGCAGCTCCATAAGCCAGGGATGGTGAAGGGGAGGACATGTCTACGCCTGCTGAGTGGCGGTGGTGATACACAGGGAACCGTGGGCTCTCATCCAGGGTGCACGTGATTGTGAGTGACTCTGTGTGATTTCACGTTCATGCCCAGTATGTGTGAGGTATGTATGTGCTCAGACCCCCAGGGAGCAATCCAGCTCTGCAGCAGGAGTGATGAGGGCGTCAGACAGGCGTGACGGGAGCTCAGGAGTGATGAGGGGGTCAGAGGGACAATTAGAGGAGCTCAGGAGTGATGAGGGGGTCAGAGGGGCATGAGGGGAGCTCAGGAGTGATGAGGGGGTCAGAGGGACAATTAGAGGAGCTCAGGAGTGATGAGGGGGTCAGAGGGACACGAGGGGAGCTCGTGTGTAGCAGGCAGAGTGGGCGACGGTGTGAGCAGAGATCTCTCCAGACCCAGGCCTGCAGGGAGAGTTGGGGGCCAGCGGAGCCTGCACAACGGGCAGCCTGCCTGCTGCCCGCTGCGGTCTGCCTCCCCTGGGAAGCCTTCCTGGCCCTGAGTTCATCTTGTGTCTGTCCTGTGTTCATCCTGTGTGCCTCACATATCCCTTGCCTATCTGCCCAGGGGCACAGAGGCATGGGGGTGGGGTGGGGGGGCGGCCAAGGACACAGGAAGTGCCTTGTGGGGGCCTGTGGGCCAGGCCAGAGCTGGCAGCCACCCCAGGAGGAAAGGACATTCCGAGGTCGGCTGAGAAGCCTCCACTCCCCCCGCACCCCGCCCCACCCTCCCTTAGCCCAGGCTTCAAAGGAGAGGGCGCTGGGGGGGTGAGGACTGAAGCCTGCAGAGTCAGCTCCCTGCCACCTGGGGCTCTGGAGGCAGAGCAGGGACCGACTCGCCTCCCCATTGACCATCCTCCCCCCTCAGACGAGCCTCCCCTCAAACCTCCCCCGAAAGCCAGTTCCCCTCTCTGACTGGGCAGGTCATGGGGGGCGGCGGGGGGCGGGCAGGGCTTTGTCTGTCATCCGGCTACTCCGGCCTGGCCCTGGGCCCTGAGTAGGGAAGGGCTGGGGTTTCCTGACAGGGACCAGGTTTCTCCGAGGGAAAAAGAGGAAAGAAAAACAAAGAAAAGGAGGAAAAGGAGTGACTCGCTGCAGCTGGAGCCCAGCTGAGGGACGGGGTGGGTGGAGGTGGGGGTGCTGCGAGAGACCAAGTGTGAGGCTGTGGGACAGTGTGCAACGGGGCGGCCTGCGGAGAGCGTGCTGCACGTCAGGGGGGGAGCTGTTTGTGAGCGACTGCAGTCGTGAGGCGGCGTGTGGGACTCCGACGGGCTTCCTGCGTGTGACTGGGAGTCCGGGCAGTTGTGTCACTGCGATCGGACGTGTGTGTGGCCGGCTGACTGCGTGTGTGTGGGACTCGGGGTGAGGCTGTGCGATGTGGGGACTATTCACTGGTCTGAGGCCGTGGGGCCGCGGTCCTCTGTACAGAGGCCTGTAAACGCGCGACTGCGTGTGAGACAGTGATGGCAAGGCCACGGACCTGCGGCGCAGGGTGTCAGACAGACCTTCAGCCTGGAGGTGTTTTTCAAACCGTGGGTGTGGGAAGGTGCCCCGTGTGTTCACACGTATGAGCAGAACGCCGTGTGAGGGCATGTGTGTGGGCCAAAGCCCGTGCGCATGCGTGTCACGTTATCACAAACACGCATGCTCCAGGGTGCCCGGACTTCCCGAGTCACCCCTGTGGGGGCTCCTGAGATGCCCGAATGACAGCATTAGCCTGCAGCGGGGGATCCGAGAGCCCCACGCGGGGCCGTGTGCGCGTGTGCATGCGTGCGTGTACCCTCGCTGGCCCAGGGTTTGTTTGTTTTCCTCCTAATTGGCTTGTTTTTCCATGTCCAGCCCACCAAACCGCATGTTTTTCCTCTCATCTCGCCAGCCCGCCTGGGCTGGAGCCCCCGGCACGCATGAGGCCTGCCCGCCGGCTCAGAGAGGAGGAGGGGCAGGCTGCCCACGCCCCTGGCCAGGCCAGATCAGGCCAGGCAGGGTGGGGTGACCCTTCCAGCTCCAGCCCTCCCAGGCCGCACCCACACTCCTCCTCCTCCTCTTGCCTGGGCATTCAGGGCCCGTGGCCTGTCCTAACCTTATCTCGTGACATCTCTTCGGGACTCCCAAATGCCCACCTTCCACCCATCTTTTCTCTCCCCAACTTCTTCAACCATGGGCTGCTCTTTCCTTCCCAGCGAACACAGCCAAGGAGGAAGCAATGCTGAACCAGGGGGACTGGAATTCCTGTCCTGACCAATCAAATACGAATATTTTAAAACTGGACAAGGAACTGTCTATTTGAAATTACTCAACTTCTGATTTATTTCAGCTTAAAATCAGAATGACATGGAATTAGCAGTGTCTAGGGAAACAAAAGGATGCTACTAAAAGGAACCTTGTGATCCTGTTTCCTAATGTGTGTGTGTGTGGGGGGGGGGGGTGTCCTTTCATCATCCTGGGTGGGGGCCTCTTTAGAAGGGGGTGTGATCATCTGCCTAAGGGCAGAAAGGTGGGTCAAGAGGAAGCAGTTCAGGGATCAGCCTGGTTAAGGGGACTTACAACAGAATATTTTTATGATCAGGTTTCCTTGGAAATAGAGACACGAAAATCTTACATGTTTAAGATAAATATTAAATAATTTTTAGTCTGAATGGCCCACAAATCAGGGGTGACTCTGTCCTGTTCTCTGAGCGCTGGTGAGAAGGATAATTTGATATTGAATGTTGCCAAACCCAGTCTCTTGTTACTAATATAAAGTGACTGAAACAATCATGATTAATGTCTCCTGTTCCTCTGACCAACCCTAGAAGGAAACAAGGCAATGTGAGATAAGTACCTGTTACTAATGCTACAGCCAATTCATGGCCAGCACTCCTCTGACAGGCAGGGCCTGAAGGGTGGTCAGTGCGATATATAAAAAGGCTGGGCTCTGGTCACAGAGAGCAGCTGTGGGCATGGCCTGTGGGCATGGCTACCAGCATTACTTCGAGACCCAATCTCCCTTCAGTGACCTCTCAAAGAAAATCAAGTCATTGGGAATGAGGGCCGGAGTCACCCAGGGCTGGCCATCATAGGCAGCTCTGTCCGTCAGAAGACTTCTGGGGCTCAAGCTGATAAGACAAGGGTGTGGGTGACTGGTGCCAAGTTGGCCTCATCCTCCTTGCATGCCGCTTAGCATGTGGCCTCTTTCCCCATGTGAGGGCCCAGGGCTAGGCTGCCTGGTCCACTTCTAGCGCACCCTGTGGTGGGCCAGGGAAGCCTCCAGTGGGCAGGCGTCACTCCACCCTGGGCTTGCAACTAAGACGTTTCGTTATGACTGCCATCTCTCCAGTTTAAACATGTAAAAAGGCTTTTCTGTGGGGAAAGGAACATCCCTACCAAAACATACTTTCCCCTCTCCTCTGGCCCCACTGATGGGTCAGTGTTTTTGTGGAGGACGCTGAGCAACCCTTCAGCCTAACCTTTCCCACAGTTGTCCACACCTGTCACCTAACAATGGGGCAAGGACCCGCTCCCAGGCCCCTCAAGCATCTCTTCCCCTCAGCAGCTCAGAGGGAGTAAAGAAAGCAGCTCCAAGGGAGTAAATAGAGTGGGGTGTATCGCCCAAATGGGATGAAGCCAGAGAAGCCTGAATCCTTGGCTCAAGAAGAAAAGAAATGAAACTATGTTCAGAGTATTTATTCTGTCAGTTGATGCCTCCGGCTGAGCACCAAGGACCTGCCCAGCTGACCCTCAGCAACACTGATAACCTCCTCCTCCCAAGCCTCCTAACACCTCTTCTAAATCGCACTCATCTGCTCCCCCTTCTCCCTTCCTGCCTGGGTCCTCCTGATCTCTCATCTCTTTGTGGCTCATTTCCTTAGATCAACCCCTTTTACAGCGATGGTCTTCAGGGCTCGGTCCTGGGTCCTCTTCTCCTCTCATCCCACAGTCTCACCCTTGACCATCTCATCCCCTCCCAAAGAATTAATGCTGACAACCTGCCCCTCCACCCACTCCCATCTCCAGCACAGGCCTCTCCCTGAGTCCCAGAACCTCAGATCCATTGGCTACCGGCCATCGACTCCTGGTTGTCCCCCAGGGACCAAAACCCAACATCTATAGCAGATGGTGCCGCAGATCCCTCACCCGTACCCGCTGACCGCCTCTGCAGCTATTTGCCTAAGAGCTTTCTTTGGCCACCAAAACCTGCTTTGCCTGCCGGGGCATCAGGCCAAAAGTGCTGGGGAATGAAAGCCTCCCCGCCCTCTTTAGTGTGCAAGCATCTGGGCTCCCTCAGCCCTCAGGCAGGAGAACTCTAGGGACCTGCTCTGCCTTCCCAGCTCCCAGAGCTCCCCCAGCGGGGTGGGCTCCAGCTGCCCAGAAGCAACGGCTAGGTAACTCCCTCTTTATTGGCTAACTTCACTTCCTTTTCTCTATCATTCTCCCATACCCTGATGTTTCTGTCACCTGCCAAATAAACTACTTGCCTGCGAACTATCATCTTGGGTTCTGTTTCCAGGGAAAGCCGAACTGAGACACGGCACGAAAAGAACACACTGTCTCCCCCTCCAGCCGACCCCTGCTTCTTGTCTCCGCGGCAGCGATCGGTCCCACCAGCTGTCTTGACTCTTCCCACTGTCCACTCTCCCACTCTCCCTACCTCTGATCCATCAGCGACTCCTGGAGGCGAAATCACTCTTCTTAGCTTCTCAACCCCATGTTCCAGTCCCAGGTCCTCTTCCACTCTCTTGCATCCCAGCAACAGCCTCCTTCCTACCCCTGGCTTTGCCCACCCACCTGCCAGCCCTGCAGCACAGTGAGAAAGAGCTTTCAACAACATGACCCTGATCATGTCCCTCCCCTCCTTCAGGTCCCTTCTGCCATTTACAGCAACCCAAGTGGCCTTCCCAGGCCCTTTCAGCATCCGAGGACTATGATCACACTCAGCTCTCGGCCAGAAAGGACTTTTTCAATGTCTCTTCCACATTCCCCAAGTGTCCACATGCCTCCCACTCCAGGAAGCCTTCCTTCTTCCCTGGGGCCTTCTAGACTGCCCACACCTCTCCCAGCCTCACCAGATCTCCCATTTTCTCCCCCAAGGCCCTCGCAGCCAGCCCCTGGGAGAGCATGCAGTGGAATGAGACCAACCCAGCTCGGAGCTGTGACGTAGGATTCCTCCCACCAGGCCCCACGTGGGCTGTGCCCTGCCGGCCCTCCTGAGCCCATCTTCTCATAGGGGACAGGATTTCTGGATCTCAAAGACCTCCAGTGGAGGGTAGATACCAGTGCAAAATGCCAAGGGTCTGGACTCAGGGGGCGACACTGGGCTCAGAGGTCAGAACAGCAGGCCTGGACAAGATCAGAGGACAGGGGTCAGGACCTCCACCACCACCAGGAAGGGGGTGTCATCTGGGCCAAGGGTCTGGGCCTCACGGACTCCCCCACTGAGTGAAGCGGGGGGTCAAACGAGGGGCTGCGAGTCGCACTTACAGCCCACATGGAGGAGGATCTGGTGGTGCAGGTGCCAGGAGTCGCGGTGGAAGCAGGCGTAGAGGCCGCTGTGGCCCAGCTCCAGGCTCCGGAGCACGAGCTGGGAGCCGTTGAGCAGGTCGGGGGCCAGGTCTGTGCCATTCACCCGCCAGGTCACCGCCGCATCCCAGCTGGTGGTGCCGCACGGCAGAGTCACGTCCGAGCCCAGGCGCTCGTACTGCACGTGGGGCGTCTCTGTGGGGGGTGGGGAGGGCACGGGGCAGAAGTCACAGGTCACAGCCCTGCCCAGCATCCAGATGATAGCCTGTGCGCGTGCTCAAGGGAGAGCAGGCACCCTGAGGCTCAGCGTGCGAGTGTCTCGGGGAGACAAGAGATCTGCAAAATTCCTTCATGGCGTGCAAGGGCACAAGTATGTGAGTGTCTCCAAACTTGGACATGTGCGTGCGTGTCCGGGGACTGTGTGTGTGACTGGGCGATCCTGTGTGCATGTATGAGAGAGAGTGTCTGTGTAGGGTGCTGGGACAGAAGACCTAGGTCACCTCCAGTCACCAGGTCCTTTGGAAAGTTTTCCTGACCCCCATAACCCTAGCCTCCTGCCACCAACAGGCCCAGTCCCAGTCACTGACATCTGCTAACCAGGCAAGCTGAGCCAAGGGGCCCCCTCCTAAACTCCTTCCTCTGTCTCTTCCCTTCTCTTCGTCCTCCCCATCTTGGTCTTTGTGTCCTGCCTTTCTCCCTCTCCCCGACAGCTCTGAGCCCCTGACAAGGCCCTGTCCCCCAGCCATCCGGGGCAGCAGCAGGAGCAAGAGTAGGCACAGGAGGCTGAGGGAGATCCTGGCAGCTGTCAACGTGATGGTGAGGCAGGAACTGCATGGGGTGCGGGTGGGACTGCGGGAGCTCTGACCATGCCTCTCCTGCCCCCAGGAGGGGCCTGTCAGAGCCCAAAGCAAAGCCCAGCCCTGGCCTCAGCCGCCCAGGCATGATGGACAGAGCCCAGGAGACTGGAGTGGAAGGGCAGAGGGGGAACTGTTGCGAGGAGAGCGAGGTGAGGGGGGCCGTGGGACAGAGGAAGGCCTGGGCACCGACATCCAGACACGGCCGAGCAGCAGGGCACGCGGAGACACGGGCCTGCTCTCCTCGTCCCGCCCCCAAGCCTGGAAGGATAGATGCTTCCCCAGACCTGCAGTTCTGTGCAGTGAGGGTGGGAGGGGCAGAGTGAGGGGGGTGAGGTGGGGGGCTGCGGGATCCCTCGTTAACACTCCCTTGGTCTCCCCTCCAGAGAGCTACCCCGCTGAGTTGGGGGATTTTCAGAGGCAATTCCTGTTAACGAGCCAATTAAGTTGGGCCAGTGGCCTCTTAATTAGACTTGTTAACACCACTGGGGCCGCAGGAGGTAGGGATCCCCCTATGCTGCCAGCGGCCCCCTTCCCCTCCCTCACACACCCCTTCCCAGCCCTGCTTTTCTTTGGGCTGGAACATCTGTCCCCAGTTGCTGCCTCTGTGGCCCTCCCCAGGCCAGGATCCCTGTGTGTCTGCAGGGCCCTATCCTGCCCCTCTCTGAGCCTCTCTGTCCCTGTCAAAGGAGAGGGAAGCAGGAAACCCCGCCAGCCCTGACCACTCGTCCGTGGGGCCCAGGACCAGCCGAACAGAGGATGAACGGGCGGAAGGGCGGCGGCTGGGGGGGACCTTGGAGGCCGCAGCTGTGAGGCTAGAGCAGAGATTGACTGGGGGCCTCCCTCTGACCAGAGGCCCAGGGTCCAGGGCTCAAGCCATAGAGCCCCCCCAGTCCACCAGCCCTAGCCCCCGAGCCCCCCTCCAGCCTCGCTTCCAAAAACCTGGAGCTTCCAGGAAGCAGGCCAAGCCCCTCTCTCTGCACACACCACCCCCCACCCCCCAGCAGAGATTCTGCATCCAGCTGCCTGAGGAGGAGGCTGAAAATTGACCATCGGGGGGGTCAGGAAGAGTGGGGGGAGAGAGGCGTGGTCATCACCGTCCCAAGGGCCCCCCACCAACAGAGGCTCAGCACTCATGTGGCCCCAGTTCGGCTCACTACTACTGGGGCAGGCAGGAACAGCCAGGAGAGACGGACAGCCGCCCAACGGCACAACCAGTGTGATGGCAGTGGGGTAACACACAGCGGGGGAACCCCCCTCACCACGGAAAAGGAAACACAGTCTGACAACAATGACAAACCAACCATGGAAGGGCAGGGCAGGAGTGAGAACATGACGATGCAATGACAGATGACGACCACAGGCCACAGGGCAGAGGCAGGGGAAAACATGTGGTGACCATCACGGCCATCGCGGCGTCACAGCTGCTACAACGACACAACAACAGCAACACGCACGGCCACGCCACAGCTCCAACGATGGCCGTGACTCAATCCTTTGTCTCTGGACAGCTCCCCCCCGCCCCCCGCCCCATGGGTGCCCCTACTGATGTGCTGTCCATTTCAGAAATTAAATCAAGCCGCAGGGGGAGGATGGGGTTCTTGGCCCTGACGCAGTGACAAATGCTCCGAAGGAATCAGCTGTGAAAAGGTTGTTAGAAGCCAGGATAAGAGACAGAGACAGGATGAGGTCATGGACACGGGGAACGCACAGGGACAGAGCCGACGGCTCCCTCACACCTGTGCACACAGGCCCACATGGGGACCACATGCCGGAAACGGTCCCCCCCCAGGGCGTTCTAAGCAACTTCACGTCGCCACACACATAGGATGAGGACTGTCACCATAAGAAGAACACGCACACACAGGACAACCATCCACAGGTCAAGGCCACACTGGGACACTGTCCCATGGCAGGGACATGACGGTGACATATATGTAGGGGAATGGAAGTGTCAGCGAGAGGCTCAGTTACACACGGACACATGGTCTCACACACAGAGACAGAAACACACAGCAGACACAAAGAGAAACAATCATGCATGGCGGAAAGTCTCAGCCACAAGGACACAACCGCTCCCAGGACATAGGGCACAGCCCACGAGGATGTGACCACACAGAGAAATGCACTCAGACAGGCACACAGTCTCAGCCACACAAGAACACAGCCTGGTGCACAAGGACAGTCTCACACCCAAAGATGCAGCCTACGTCCCCGCACAGGGCTGGGGCCAGGCCACCAGCAGGCCTGGGCTGGTCGGGTCAGTACACGAGCCCCTGGCATGCCGACTGCAGGTGAGGCTCGATGGGCTGGCCTGGTGGTCCCTTCAGTCCTTACCCCCTGGGGAGCAGCCCCGGGGTAGGCCAGGATCTCTCTGGGCCTCAGCATTGGGTTCATAAGGAAGAGGCCTCAGGAGCCTTGACCTACTGAACTCTTTGAACCCACAGCCTTGAGGGTCATGGAGCTCAGTCATCCGGGCCTGCTATGTGCCTGGGCCCCACCTTCTCTGCTTCTACCTGGGCCGGCTGAGGTGGGGGGGCAGGACACAACCAAGCGGGGAGCTCCCTACACTTGGAACCTCATTTGAGGAGTTTTGAGGTCAGAACTTGGACTCATGTGGCCATCTTAAGTGCTGCCTCAAATGCAGACAGGCTAGGGGTCACGTGGTCACCCTTCCCAGGAGGGGTGTAGCTCCGTGCCCAGTCTCTGCTCTCTGCGTGTCTGTGTCCCTGTGAGGAGGATGCAGCTTGCACTGGACGAGTGGTCAGGGAAGGGGAGGAGGCGATCAATGGCCCCGCCTTGGCACCCCCCACCCCTCCAGCCATCCCAGCTCACTGGTGGGCCAGCCTTCTCCCACTTGTCATCCTGCCCATCCCCTCAGCGTGTTCTGGGGCTACCATCCCTGTCCCCATGTTCCTTCCAGGATAAGCGAGGGGCATTCTTACCCACTGTCTCTCCCAGTGCCTCCCACTGCACCCCCCATAAACCCGAAGGGACCCCACTTCACCAGATACTGTACGGGGCCCTGCTCCTAGCTGCCCGCAATGCTAGTTCCTCAGTTGTGTCCAACTCTGTGACCCCATGAACTGTAGCCCACCGGGCTCCTCTCGTCCATGGAATTCTCCAGGTAAGAATACCGGAATGGGTTTCCATGCCTTTCTCCAGGGGCTTTTCCTGACCCAGGGATTGAACCTGGGTCTGCATGGAAGACAGATTCTTTACCATCTAAGCCACCTGTACCCTGTATCCACACTAGGGGGAAAAGGATCGGACAATCTTCAGCCAGAGATGCCGTCAGCATGAAACCACCCAGCAGTGACTGGGGGCTGTGCTTATGGGACAATGTCAATGGGTCACCCCATGTATTAGAGTCACATGACTCATGTTCATGTGTGACGATGCCAGCACACGGCAGTATCTGGCTCTTGGGTGGGTACATGCAGTTATGCCAGAGAGGGTCCTGCTCAGCTCTGGGAGGGAGTCAGTAGGGAGCACCCCTCGCCCCCCGCCCACCTGGCACTCACCCTGCGGACTATGTCTCTGGGCGTAGACCACAGCAGCAGCGGCAGCGAGCACGGCACAGCAGGCCCACGGGACCGGAGCAGCCATCTGTTGGGGAAAATGTGGGCGGCGGGGAAAGGGGCAGCATCAGCTCAGGTAGCAGCCGCCTGGGGAGGCCCCCCCGCCACCCTATTCTCAGGGAAGACTGGGAAATCCCAGCCCTAGGGCCAGGGCACCTTGACCCCAAGCGCCCTTCTTAATGGAGCTCAGGACCCTCTTCAAGCAAACAGAAAATAACCTTATTGGCATCTGTACGCAAAGGTTTGCTGAGATGGTAGAAGGCAACCTACAGTGGTTTGTTGTTCGATAAGGAGGCTGGCTGCAGGATGTAGTCAACCGCAGATGAGTTATAAAACACTGGTAATGCTAGGGCCATTTTTCTAGAAAAAAAATAACTTTACTGGTGAGGTTAGCTAATTAGCTATAAACACTGCAAACTGAAAGGGTAATGCTTTAATTTGATTGGAGGTCTATACATCTCCAAACTGCCTTGAACGGAAGGCCCCTGACATGCTCCTGGGGAGAGAGCCCCTTGGATCTGCCCTACCACGTTACCCCTACCTGCCCGCCCCCGATCCCTAGGTGAGCCTTGCCCGGCAGGGCTCTGGGAAGTTCAGAGCAGCAGGGTATCAGGGCAGTGGGACATTGTGAGCAGGTCAGATGTGGTTTCTGCTTTAGTGAACACTAGTGATCATGAGAAGGATGAAGGATTTTCAGATATACATCCCAGTCAGGGACCCCAGCCTATCACCCTTCAGCCCAGGAGCCTGAGAGCCCCAGTCCAGCAGATGTAGGTCAGGGTCTGCACACTCCCATGTGGGTACACACAGCATGGTCAGGATGTGTTTCCAGAAGCCAGGATGGATCCAGTGGCCCTTCAATGTGTTGTCCTGCTTCTAGGATGGGTCCAGCTGCCCTCACACTGCTCCACCCCAGCACACACCTATACCTAAGGAGAGGGAAACAACTATTTCCTGCCCAAGAGGTTCCAAATCTCGCTCGCTCCAGTCTTGAAGAGAGACAAAGTTCTGTCAACAAGACAGAAGCAGAGATACAGAGACAGACCACTCCCAGACACTCAACCAGGGCCACCACCAGAGGTACAGTCAGACACACAGCAAAGACTCTGCCCCCAACAAGAGACAGAGTCCCAAAGAAAGAGCCTACACCCAGGCTGGAGGCTTGTGTGGGGCACAAGCCAGACAAACAGGTAGGTCAACCAGATAACCAGCCAGAGACATGGCCAGAGAACAGCCAACACACAATCAAGGACCCACCAGAAACACCGTACCAGACTCAGCCAGATGCAGGCAGATATATCAGAGAAGCCATCAGCGACGCAGGCCCGGGACAGTGTCAGAAACCCTGCCAGAGAAACTGCCTGACACACAGGCAGAGAAATACCAGAGAGACTGATAGACGCAAACAGGCGTACACCCAGAAAAACAGCCGGAGCGAGGGCCAGAGACGCGGCCAGATGCTCAGTCAGGAAGTATCCACGGCACTCAGAACCCTGCCAGGGACACTCAGACACACAGTCGGACACACTGCCAGAGACACCGTCAGAAACGCTGCCAGAGAAACAGCCAGAGACGCTGCAGAGAGGGCTAGAGCAGGAGAGACGAGTGTGGGTGTCAGCCTGGAGCCGAGTGGGGGTGGGGGAGTGGGGAGAACCTGACTTCTGGGGGCTCCTCCGCCGGAAGGGCTCCTGCCTGCCCACGGCTGCACTCGCCCCTCCCCAGGCCAGCCTTGCCCTCTGCACCTCCTCCAGCTGCGGCCGCTGGAGCCCCAGCTGCCCCTCCCGGGCACCGCTCGCCTCTCTAGGCCCCGACTGGCCTCGGCAACCCCTCCCACATCTGCGACTCCTGAGGCCTTTGCTACCACTTGGCCTGGCTCCTGACCCTCAGCCACGCCCCCCGCTCCAGCTACTCCTCAGGCTTAGGAGGTGAAGACAATGGCCAAGGACACAGTCAGCAAGTGCTGGGGCCAAGAAAGGAACCCGGGATGAGCCAGCTCTAAATTCAGAGCCGGTGTGAGAGAAACAGATAAGAGGCTGGAAGCCCACCTGGTTCCCCCCGGCCCCCCACAGCTTCTCTCCTCCTTCAACCCTCGCAGGGAGCCCTCAGACCCTCCCCTGCCATCTCCACCATCCGCTTTTCTCCTCACAGTCAGCAAGAGACTCCACCTCAGGGCGAACCTGCTGCCCAGGACACCGGAGAGGACCCAGGGCCTGGGAGGCAGAGGGGCAGACAGACGGGACAGAGGGTGGATGACAGCATGGGAGCAGAGAGCCAGGGTGGTCCTCTCCTCCTAGCTCCTTCCTGGTCCCAGCTGGGAGGGGCGTGGGGGTGAGGAGAAGGCCTGGCACGAGTGTAATGCATACAAGCAAATACACACACACACATGCGGGTCCCCACAGGGGGAGGGGTGGCTTCTTCATCAAAGTCGCCTCCATCAGCCCGATGAGTTACTGTAAGGGCCGGGCCCTGGGCCAAAGAGGCTGCAGCTATGGGAGCCGGGCGCTGCTGAGAGCGCTGCAGAGGCTGGGGGATGGGGTACCAAGCAGATGCTGCACGGTTGGGGGCACCCAGAAAAGGGAGACACCCGGGGAGAGGGGAACGGAGAGGCAGGGACAGAGGGAAAGCTGTGAGCCGAGTCCCTGAGGGGCAGGAAAAGACCAACACAGGGAGAAACAGAAGAAGAGACACAGGAAGACCCGGGGAGCACAGGATACGAGCAGAGATTCAAGGGCAGCGGGAGAGACACGACCTGGAGAGAGCGACAGAAACGAGACACAAGCAGGGTCTCTGTGCCCACTGACAGCATCTCTAAGCCCACTCAGCTCCTGCAGTGTAAGGGGAGGATGCTGTCAGCTCAGCCGTGGTGACGGATCTGAGACAAAAGCAGGGCTACCAGGGGGCTGGGGGGCTTCTAAAGCCAAGAGTCTAGCCCCTAGGGAATAAGAGTGGATGGAAACCCCACGCCACCTACAGGTCCAGGAAGTCGCAGGCCACTTTCACTTCCCTCTTCCCTCCAAGTCCCAGCTGGACCCATTCCCAGGTAGGGAAGCTGAGGCCAGAGACATCCAGGCTACACCTCTGCCCTGCCCCAGCTCACCTCAGGCCACCCATCCCAGGGCAAAGAGCATCTTTCCCAGGAATTTTCCAAGTCCACACCCACGGCTCTGGGATAGATCTAGAGCAGAAATCCTGTAAAGCCCCAGATGAGGGCTATGCGAACTGGCCCAGGCTCCATAGACCCTTCCAGAGGGCCAGCCTGGCCTCCAGCCCCAGACCCAGCAGTGAGCAGAGAGCAGAAGACACCCCACTAACAAGTACCCAGCAGCCCGAACCCCTTGTGAGCAGAAGCCCAGCACCTCTCCCGACACGGAAGCCCAGTGTTGCCACATACACACACATAGGTGACACATCGAGACCATCCTAGCACCCAACTTATCGTCATGTCCCACGACGACAGAAGGACACCAGTACACAGTAAGAACAACATTCACTAAAAACGACACAGGCGCACAGGTGCCAATGCCTACGGGGTACTGACAGTCGTCGCTAGAGGGGTGATGATGCATCGAGTCAGAGTCACACACAGTGACACCAACAAACAGGGCAATGACCCCTGCGGACACTGACACAGTCACGGTGACAGTCACCTTGGTTTCAAAGATGCAATGAGACCGCCAGTCACTCAGGCTGACAGTGACGGTGACATCCACGGTGATACAGGGAGGCTGACAGACTCAGTGAGATGGACAGTCACAGAGAGTAACACCAGCCCGCAGAAATGTTGACACCATGGAGGCTGACAGTCTCCAGCCGTAACACTGACAGAGTGACAGGCTCCGGATCAGGGATCTCAACTACCAAGTTTCTGGCTTAGGATCCAGGGCCCAAGACCCCTCTTGCCAGTCCCAGCAAGGTCCCAGGTACCCTGCACCCCGACCCTCACCCGCTGCCCAGCCGAAGGCAAAACCTAAGAAAGGGAAGTGTGAAGTTTGGGAAAGCCCCTATTCATCCTGCAGAAATAAGGCAGGTTAAGTTAATCAACCCAACCCTGAGGAATCCCTGCCACATCCAGGGTGAGGATGGGAGCTCTGAGCACCACTGCCTGGAGCCCAGCTCTGGCTGAGTGTGTGCTGATGTGCAATAGTGTGTTCAGAGCTTTAGGCTTCAGGGTGTTGGTTGGTGTGGGTGTGCTGAGGGTCAGGTGGGCTCAGTCTGGCTTGGAAAAGGAATGAATAGCGAGGGCCCAGGTGGTGCCTTTGAGAAACAGAGACCCAGTGAAGGTCACTGGCCTGGACCCCACCCCACTGGCCTGGGGCTGGGGTGAGGTCAGGAGTGTTTCTCTGATGGAGAGCATCTGGCCTACAGCGGGGGGCCTGGGGACATCTCCATGGCTTCCAGTCCCCTTCAGCAACCCCAGACTCTGGGATCCTCCAGGAAAGGGGAAAGGCACTCTCTGTCTTGGGGCCTCATCACCTTCTCCTCGCCCTGCAGTGACCCTATGGGACACATCCTGGGAATGAGGCAAGAACCGGGACAAAAGGACCCGCGGATTCGAAGGCCTGGGGAACTCTACGGGCCTCAGACCTGCAGAGGAATTAGGGTGAAGAGAGGAAGAGAGGCACGTACTCTTGGGGATGGAGAGAGAAAACGAGGGGCAGAGCAGGGGCAGTGGTAGGGACAAGGCCATGGTGGGTAGGGAGGCTCAGCCCCGGCTGGCTGGCCGAGCGGGAGCCTGGGAGAGACAGTCTGGGCGGGCGGGAAGCTCCAGGAGCGGGAGGAGGGGCTGAGGCCAGAAGGCCCCCAGATCCCACCAGGCCGAGGCAGCCTGGACAGCGTGGGCGGTGAGGGCGGGGGCAGAGGCCGGGGGTGGGGGGAGGCCAAGGAGGGAGGCCTGGCCCCTGGCAGCTGGCCCGGCAGGCCCCCCACGGGGGAGGGGGCGGGCCCAGGTCAGGGGCCAGCTCCTGGTCTGGGGCCGGCTGGCCATGGGGCAGGCTCCCACTCCCCATGGCGTCTCTCCCTGTGGCTGAGTCTCTGGTCTCCTTTCTCTTTGACTCCAGACCTGGCCCTCCTCTCAGCGCCCCCCCCACCTGAAGGGGTGCAGGACCCAGAAGCTGTGCCTGGGTTCAAGCCTTATCTCCTCCTCTGATGCCACCCCATCCCCACACACTCCAGGGGCAAGCCCTCCATGCTCTGGGGGAAGGACACTGCCCAAACATAGCCCCACTCCTCCCCCATGGAAGGGGGCAGGGTGAAGCTGAGCACCAGGGGGAGGGGGGCCAGGAGGGAGGCAGGGGGTGGGGAGCAGTCCCCCAGCTCTGCTCTCTGGCTCAGGTTGTGGAAAAGGAGGCGGCCCAACGTGAGTGAATTGTGTGTGGGGGGGGTGGGTATCCGCACCTGCTATTGTGACCTCCACAGCCGGAGATGGGGGCCTGGGGGGGACAAGATTCCGATGGATTTTGGCAGCAGCTTGGGCTCTTGAGTGCTCACGCCCCCCACCCCCCCAACCTCTTGCACTGTGGGGACCCTGAGATCAGCATGTGCGTGCCCTGCTGTACATGTGTGCTGGCGTGTTGCGCGCTTCCCGTGCCAGGCCTGGCTGGGCCACTGGGAGGTATCCAAGGGAGATACCCGTCCGCATCGCACCAGCCGGGCCCACACGTGGAGCCCCACTCGAGCCCTGTGTGCTGCCCGGCGGCCTGGGCGCTGGCTCATCTACACTCATGTATGCGGGCCTGGACGAGAGCAGTCCTCTAGAAAGGTCCAGGCTTGCTCCCTGAAAAGTCATCTGACCCAACCCTCTGCCTCTCCAATGGGGAGCAGGAAGGGACAGAGAAGTTCATATCCTCCCTGTGGGCACATGGGCTCTGGACAGCTTCACAGCATCCGAGACGCAAGCACTAACTCCTCTCCCCCTAGCCCCAGTCCAGAGTCCCTCCTGGCTTCTAGGAGAATCAGGAGGATCCCTCCATGCAGAAGAGGGCCACACACCAGTCAGGTTAGGTCTAGGGGGAGCCAGGCGGCTCCTCGTGGAGGAACAGACGCTGCAGGAGGTTATAGACAGCTGGAAGGCCTCCATGGAAGGCGGGGGATGGGCAGGTCATCGTGGCTGACCAAGACTTCCCTCAGCTGACAGGGGAGGGGGCTCGCAGCAGACTCACAGCAGACGAGGCAGGAAGGAGGCTGCAGGGCCCTCGGCGGAGACAGAAGGATGGACAGAATCGCTCTCCAGGCTTGGGGGCTGGGACAAAGACCTCTTTGCCTCAGCCTCTCCCACCACCCCCCACGCAGGGCCCCATCACCACTACGGTGCAGACACAACCTCGAATACATGCACAGAGGTTGATGCTCGCAAGGTTGTGTATATGTGGGTGCATGCGCATGCACACACACACACACACACACACACACACACAAGGGGGGGCGGTGGGCAGTGTGTGTGAAGCGTCGATGTGTAACAGAAAGAACCGAAGATGGTCTTTCGGACAGAGTCAGAGTTGAGTGGGGGGAACAGAAACTTCGACTGTCTTCACGTGTGCTGTTCTCCTCGACCCCCCTCCACGCACACACACTGCACACACTACTTCTGAGGAAGCTTCTGGTCTGCTGGGCAAAAGCAAGCCATCCTTCCTCCCCCTTCCTCCCCTCCGCACAGTGGGGAAGCCAGAGCAATCTGTTCCTGATGGGTAAACACAGGCATGAGTATGCGCGCACACATGCTCACACATACACACGCTCACACACACACACACACCCACGATTCAGGGGCACACAACACCCGGTGCTCACTTCACCCCAAGACAGAATGCACACTCAGGCTCTCACTACCATCGCAGAGCTCCCCAAAGCCCCCCATCTCCACCACACAGCTAGAGCTTCACAGACACATCCAGGCACCCCTCTCGCAGACACTGGCATCATATTCTCCCATTACCGCCACTCATCACGGCCTCCCACGTGGACACCCACTACCACATCCTCACACACGCTGGTGTGCATGCACACAAGAATCACAGTCACAGTCACACACACAGACTCTCACACACATGCTCAATCAAAACAGTTCTGGCCTCACATATGGATGCCAGCACACACTCAGAACAGTCACCCTTGCACACAGATACTGTAGCACCTCCAGAAACTCAGAGTCCACCGCCCCCACCCCCATCACCCTCAGCCCTCACACCTCTACACCCGGCATGGGAAACGCATACATACACACCCAGAACAGTTACTCCCTGCTGGGACCTTGGGTTGCCAGGCCCGTGCTTAGGGGAAGGGAGGATAAAGCTCAGGGTGGCCTAACACAGAACGGGAAAGTTTATAAAAATCGAGGAAACAGAACACTACTCCGTACTTGGCTCCTTTCTCTCCTCACCCCGCTTTCACCAGCATTCAGGAATGAGGAGAGATCCCGGCCAGAGTGGAGCAGTGAGGAAGCCCCCAGGCGAAGAGATGGTGGCATGGTGGCAGTAGGAGCCAGCAAGCCCCAGAAGCCAGCCTGCTCCCCAGGGCCCTCCCGCCTCCCCTCCTCACCACTTCTTCTCCAAGAAGAGGAGCAGCAGCAGCTCACAGCCTAGCTACCTGCTGTGTGAGCCCAGGCCTCTGGGAAACCTCTCTGAGCCTACAGCTGTCTACAGGGCACCTGAATGTCAGGCCTGGCTGCAGGAAGTGGGGGAAGGGGAAGGAGATGAGACCTTGACCTCAAGCCCCAGCCCCTGCCAAGGCCCTGTCATCACTGTCAGACCCGAAGAGAAATGGGGACAGCCCTGGCCAAGCCAGCACTGCCCTAACAAACCACCAGGACAAGAATCCTAAAGCGTCGTCCTTGGACCCTGCATCCCCGCCCCCATCACAAGAGAAGACGCTGTGTCTGTGTCGCTGTCCAGGCAGAAAGGAATCCGGGCTGGGCCGGCCAGGCCCCAACCTGGGAACCACCGTCAGTGCTGCTGGCATCCTCACCACTTGCTGCTCCAGGTGTAGTGTGAGCCCTGATGCCCCATCCTAAAGCAAGCCTGCCTGGACTCCACGGACCAGGCCTGGGAGGGAACACCGGCGGCAGAGCCTAGGGAAACCAAGCAAGGCAAAGCCCAGGAAGCCAGGTGACGGGGACTTAGGGAAAGCGACAAAAGAATTCAGGCAGCCGGGTTAAGGGAAGCTAGGTGACAAGGCTCCAAAGAACACAGGCTGTGGGGGCCAGATGAAACCAGGCCGCAGGGACCGAAGTTATTTAGCTCAGAGGTGGGGACCAACGAAGCCAAGCGAGAGGCCCACAGGATGTAGGAAAAGAAAGATATTGGGAGCTCATCCCTCTGTCTGGACGTCACCCCCACACCCGGGGCCTCTCTCTCAGTAGCCCCCTTCCCACCCCAGTGGCGGTCCCCTCCCCCAGGCCAATGGACACGGCTAGACCCCCTCCTCTTGCTGGAGGCCTGGTCCGGCTGCAGCCAGTGGGCCCCGGCCCCGTCCCTGGGACCTCAGGAAGTCCCAGTCCCTCCCACCGGCTGCAGAGGCAGAGGGGGGCTGCTGGGGGGAGAGAAAAAGAAGAGGAGAGAGACAGCTTGGCAGGGGGAGCGCCGAGCCGCCGCGGGGGGCGGGGGCCGAGAAAGGAGCGGGAAGCGCCGGGGCGGGCGGGCCGGCGGGCGGCGCGGGCGGGGGTGACAAGTTCTCCGGCCCCGCGGCCGCGCGGCCACTGACCTGGGTCCCCGCGCAGGCGCCCCGTCGGTGCCTCCGGCGCTCCGTGGGTCCGCCCGTCCGCCCGCGGGCATCGGGCCCCCCGGGGCTTCGGGGCTGGGGCCCGGGCGGCCCGGGGAGCCGGCGTGTCCCCCCACCCCCGAGAGCCCCGGCGGGCGGGGGAGCCGAGCCGCTGCGAGCGAGCTGGGCGGCGAGCGGCCCGGGAGGCGGGGAGGAAGGAGCGCGCGGCGGGCGAGCGAGCCGAGCGAGCGGAGGGAGCGAGTGAGGGACGGCAGGCAGTGAGGTCATCCTTTGAATCTAATTGTCTGAGTCAGGAGGAGATGTGGCACTCGAGGCAGGGGGAGGGGAGGGGGAAGGGACCCTCCCGGCTCCGGCGCACCACCACCCCCGCCCCTCCTCACCCCTGGGGGCTGGCGCGGACTCCCCTCCCCCGCCCGGGGCCATCTTCTCAGGCCAACTGGGACCAACCCCGGCCGGTCTAAGTCAGGGCTGACCTCTGCAGAGAAGGCTCTCCGTCTCACATCACCCCCAGACAGTCTAATCTCTAGGGGTGATGGGGAGCCCCCCCCGGTCCAGCTTGCCTTCCTGCCCGTCTGAGGTCAGGGGAAGCCCCCATTCCACCCCAGGTCTACTTCTGCCCTCCGAGGAGAAAGGGGGAACTTCCAGCAGCCTCCTAGGGAACTTGTGCACTCTAGAAGCTGGAATCCCCAACTCTACTCCCCGAGTGACCTGCGTTGGAAATTTGGGGGAATCTGGACATTGAGTCACAGCTCACCTCTCTCCCTCCTGAGGATGACAGTTCAATGCCAGCCAGTCCTCCAGTCCTGCAATTTGAGGGGCACGAGGACCCCCAGTGGACTGCATACCCAACCCTTCAGGAGGGGCAGAAGCCAGGCCAGACACCTAAGGTACCCCAGAGGCTGCTCAGGGGAGCAGGCCACTCCAATGGTTTGGGGGGAGCAAGATGGCAGTTGGGCCCTGGGCTTGTCAGGTGTGTGCACATCCATGCATGCACACAGGAGCACATGCACACGTGTGTATACACACACACACACACACGGGATGGGGGGGGAGACCAGGAGGCTGGGGATGCTCACACAGAGGGCCACACAGCTCTCCCCTCGCCCCCATGGGGGAGGGGTGATAAATATTTAAGGGGCTTTTAGCCCTGAAGGGGCCGAAGCTGGGGGAGGGAGGGGGATCCACGATGCCTGATTAATGGGGTTACGGGCTTGGATCAATCCATCCGCCCGCCGCCTCCCTCCTCCTCCCCCTCCCTCCCTCCGCCTAATGCGCTTTATCAGGAGACGCTTTTCTGACTTGGCAGCGTCGGGTGTTTTAAATAGACCCATTTAGAGCAGGGGTTGGGGGAGAAAGGAGGGGGGGAAGGGAGACAGAGATTGAGACAGGCTGGGAGACAGAGACGAATCAGAAGAGAGAGAGACAAGCCCGGAAGAGAGAGACTGGGAGCGGAGAGATAGAAGGAGATGCAGGGACACGAAAATAAGAGTCTGAGGATGACACTCCCGCAGAGGCTGGATTGAAGGGGGTCGGGGGGACGGTAATGGGAGGCCAAGGGGAAGCTGGGGGGCTGAAGAGCTGAAACAAACCAAAAAGAGAGAGACAGACGCAGAGAGAGGAAAGGACCCACCAAGAGCAAGGAGAAACCGAGAGAGGTTCTCTGCAAGGGCTGAGTGCTAGTCTGGGAGACAGCAGATATCTTTTATTTCCAAAAACAGTTTTTCATCCACTTTGTTAAATTAAAAAGCTGTTTTTAAAGCGGTGCTGAAGGTGCTGCTGGGGGAGGGTGGACAGAACTGCCAAGTCCTCCCTCACGGCCTCCTCCTCTGCCCCCACAGAAGCCGTCTCAGCCTTCCCCCCCCCCCCCGCCGCCGCCGGGGGTGTTCTCCAGCTCCCCTGCTCTCTGCGCTCCTCAGGGATCCCCAGGGAGAGGGTCAGGGCATCTGAGCTACTGTTCATTGGCAGAAAGTCCTTCCTGCTGTCTGGCCTCAGTCCCTCCTGCTCCAGGGAGCCCATTCTCTTGCCTGACCGCTAGCCCTCTCTTCTCCGATCCCAGTTCCGGCTCCCTAAGGTGTCCCCAGTGTGTTGGGGGTGATTAGCACAGCTCAACAGCTCACTTTCCCAACCGGCCACCAAGCTCCTCCCAGGTGTTCCCCTCATTGTTGTGCAAATCTGAACTTCTGATAGACACCCCACTCCAAGTCTTCAGGTCCTCTGGGAACCGGGAGACAGAACTGTAACCCTCTCCAGCCTTCTAAAGTCCCTTTTCTACTCTTCAGAACCCCAGCTCCATTTTAAGTCCCTTTTATGGCCATGATGTTGTCAGCCTGCGATACACTCGGCTCGGACCCCACCCTCAACAACACCCCACTGCTAGTTCTGAAGGGTCAGCCCCCCCACCCCCACCCCACTTCCAGGCCGGGAAAATGGCCAGTCTGTTTGGGAGCTGAGATGAAAAGCCCTGCCGGCCTTTGTGGGCCTCTGGCGGGTTTTCGACAATAGGCCCTTCCGTTCCGCTCCAGCGCCTCGATTTCTTGAGCACCCCCACCCTGGGGCTGCCAATCCAGGGGCCTTGCCTGGCTAGAATGAAAGGCGGGGAAAGTCAGGCCCAACCCCCAAGGCTGGCCTCAGAAGATTTTGGACTTTCTGACCCTCCATCCCATCTCCTCCAAGCCCAGCGGCTCCCCACCAATCAAGCCAGAGAGATGCTTTGGGCAGAGAAGAAGGCTGACAATGAGACAGAAACATGCTCCCATATCCAGGATTCAGCCCCAGCAGTGCAGAATTCAGTTTTCTGACCTGGCTTTGCCCTTGCCTGTGTGATGGTGCGTAAGTCTCCTCCCCTTTATAGGCCCGCTATGGGGCCATGAAAAGCCTCAGGAGGAAGGAGGGGGGAAGAACAGGAAGGGATCACAGACCCTCCTTCACTCACATCCCCAGACCTACGGCCCCCATGGCACCTGCCAGCTGCCCTGAAACTGACCTGCCTCCCCTGGGCCCCCAGCACATACCTCTTCACCAACGGCTGCACACCGAGCACATCAATGTCCTCCTCTTCCTCCAGACCAGGCTCTTCTGGAGGCTTCTGAAACCAAGGGGGCGGGATGATGTGACAAGGCTGGATTCTAGAAGGGCAAAGGGCATAAATCAGGCCACAGAGGAGCCACAGACCTTAGTCGAACTCAGAGCTCATTTCACACTCACAGCCCCACTGTGAGAAGGGGAGACTGAGGCAGGCAGCAGGTCAGTGTCCAGAGGAGAAAAAGTTGGGAGTGGTCCAGACTCCCTGAAGCACCCTTTGCAGACTTTAGGTTCTGAACCGCAGCGACAAGGAGAGGCCAGAAGCCAGCGGCCTGACACCACACATAGATGCAAACCCACAGACCATCTGAAATCCCCACACAACCAGTTCACAGACACAAGTACCTCCATGTCACACACATCCTCCCATGCACACTCACACAGGGATACAGGGCCCCCAGCAGGCAGAAACACACACCATCATACTGTCCTCTCCTCATCACCACTATGATTTATTGAGCATCTGTTATGTGCCAGCAACTGTGTTAGGCACTTTATATACATGATCTCATTTAATCTTCATGACTTCTCCATGAGGTAGGTTCTATTATTATTCCCATTTGACAGCTGAAAAAACAGATTTCGGGAGGTTAACTTGCCCAAGATCACATAGCCGATCAATTCCAGAGCAGAGATTTGAGTGCAAATCTCTGCTCTGGAGACCTTCTGCTAGTGCAGCTTGCCGCTGCAGATCTCTCCCCTGCCAGCACAGTGCCTTTCCCAATAATAATGGGAACAGCTAACACTTGCTCAGGGACCTTGATGAGCGAAACACCATGATGAAGACCTAACATACAGTTTGCACCAGATCACCAACACAACCTTTGAAGGTAATCCTGTTCCCATTTTGCAGATGAGAAAACTGAGGCTCAGAGAACAAAAGCACCTTACCTTGCCCAGAGTCACACGACTGGTGCTGAAAAAAGCTATTCTGAAAGTCATTGTTGCTTCTAGGACTCCAGTTACTTGAACAGAGCCCTCGACTTCTACAAGACCCTGGAAGATTCTCAGGGTCCAATTGCTCCATTCCCCACTACAACAGGTCCAAGCTGTGTCTGCCAAAGGCACGATCAGGTGCCTAAACACATACACACGGGAAAGGAACTCCATGTCATCTAACTCTGCCCGGAGAGGCAGAGGTACCGCCAGCCAGGGAGAGATGGCCGGAAACTCAAACAAGGTGTTAGGGACAGGCTGACTGGTGGTAAGAGAGACAGACACACCGACAGGCCCACAGAGACAGAAACAGGAAGACAAAGACAGACACACGGGGCTGAGGAATGACAGAGACGGTGGGGAAAGGAGACAACAGAGGGAGACATGAAGAAACAGACAGATACACACTGACATACACAGACAGACTAACAGAGTCATCCAACCTTCAGGAAAAGAAAACTCTGAAAGCAAAACAGGACTCATGTATAAGTGAGCGTGTAGGTGAGGATGCATTCGAGTGTGCCTGTGTTGGGGGCATGCAGAGTCTGTATCACTACACACATTACACCAGCTGCTTCTAGCAGTTTCATCTGATTAATAATAAATGCCCCATAATTACAGCCGCTCCCCCCAGCCCTTCTTCCTGTTTTTTTTTTTTTTTTTTGTCAGCTGCCGCTAGGCCAGCCCCCTGTAGACCCCCAGGGCCCCCTCCATCCTCACCTGCTGCCTTATAGGGGGCTGAGAGGACATGAGTGGAGGAAGGAGGCCAGACTCCCAATCTGAAGGGGAATACCCATTTCTCTGTGGCAGATTAACGCCCCATGCCTCTAAGAAAAAAGTCATGCCATTTAGGTCTCACTCAGAACCCTCCCCCAGTTCCCCTGTTCCCCTGGTATAACCTCTGAACCCTAACATGGCCAAGGGGCCCAGGTCTGGGATGCAGAGAGATGAACCCTTCATCACTCACTGGCTGCAAGAAATCTCCATTCACCAAGTTACCCCAGTCTCAGAACCCCACAGGCTCAAACACAGAAGGGACCAAGACAGCCCCCCACCTCCCACCTCATCATTCCCACCCTGCAGCGCCAGAGTCTCTGCCCACTTGTACACTCCCACGCGTTGGACACCCGGTGACTCTGCCTCCATTCCTGAGCCCCCTGCTCAAGGCCACCTCCTCCCAGGCCCCCCACCCTAGCTCTCCAAGGCAGCTCTATCAGAGTCAGCTGTGGGTTTGTGCTGATCTGTTTCTA